TTTATATGGGTTCCTGCTTTGGTATGAGTTCCGTTTTGAATTACATATGGGATTGGCACATCATGAGGTTTCCAGTTAGATATTCTCAGCACCTTCACCTGGCCCTGTCACCAAAGCACTGGAAGCTCTTTAGGTCATGCACTGGACGCACTGGTCACCTCCAATGCGTCCGCTGGCGCTGTCTTCAGGTCAGCAGCTCTGTGACTTCTGTGCCATGTTTGGGGCACTGGGATCCTTGGTGATATGGGGGCCACTGTGCCAGGTTCCAGCCTGGTAACTGCAGACACCCTCTGCCTCCCAGGGTACAGGGTGGGAGGGCACTCACACCTCCCTTCAGAAACCTTCCCCAAAGCTTCCCCTTCTCTCCCTGGCACAATCTCTTCCATAGTTTTAAATTTTTCTCCAAGAGCCTTTATGAAATCCCTCAGGCAAGACAGCACAAAACCTGTTTGAAGTGGAGGGGGAGTGGAGATGTGAAAAATACAGGAGAACAAACACAAGTGAATATTTCAATAAATTACCGCTCCATGAATGTCATAAGTGTGCTTAAGAAATGCTAATGTAGCAAGAGGCTGGGGTCCTGGAAAGACGAGTCCCAGGGGTATGTGGAGGGGCAGGCAGAGGCCAAAAGAAAAAACAGAACAAAACAGTGAAGGCACCTGAGTCCTTGAATGCTATGTCTATGTCATCATCCTCCCTGGGGTTCTGTCCATCAAGGCAGCTGTGGGCTTAGAGAGATGAAGTGACCTGCCTCAGATCACACAGGTCCATCTGATCTATCTGAGACCTCAGCTCGACTGGCAGTCAGGAAAGGAGAAGGGAAGGGACCCTGGAGCCATTGCCACTGGGTGTCTGGCTTCTGGCTTTGCAACCTTGGATCTGCCAGCGCCAATGTGTGCCTCAGTTTCCTCCTATGGAAGAGGATAATAATGGCCCCATCTGGAGAGTTTTGGTCAGAGGAAGTGCGTAGCGTCCAGATCATGGCCTGGCTTGGAGAGAAATGTGTAAATGGTGGCTTCCGCTGTGACTGCACCTTAGATCAGGGCACTTGGGTGGACGGGGGAGTGAGATCATTTGATTGCATCTGGAGAGTTCTGGGCCATCTGGATGGGAGCTTGGGGGTTGACCAGGGGCTGCCAGATAAGAGATACTTGAGAGGGATGAGCAGTTTAGGGAGTGGACACAGCAGGGTGGCTGAGGCCACCTAGGGGGCAGGTGGAGTGGGCATGGGGTAGAGTCTGGGTCTAGCAGCCTTCTTTGCTTAGGAAGAGAGGGAGAGGAGTCTCTGGGCCTCAGCTGGGCAGAAGGACAGAAGCAGCATCAGAAAGTGAAATAGCGTATTAGGGATATTTCTTTCCCCCTCCCTTTCCTCTCTCCCTTATTTTCTTCTCACCCTCTCTCCACTCTTTCCTCTCCTTCTCCATCCCTTCCATCCTTTTCTCTCTTCCCCACCTTGTTCTAAAAAACCTGAGAAGAAAAGCCTGCTCTCAGAGCTGTCATGAGTAACCCACTTGTGTACTTGTGGTTTACCTACCTGTAGAAAATTTGTACCCTAAGATCTCCACATGCTGTGGGCAAATGTTTTTTAATTCAACTCCACAAATATTTACTGTGCTCTGGATAACTGAGTGTACTTTGTGCTGGAGGTGCCAGAGAGATGCAAATGGTCAAAGCCAGTCCTCGGAGGAGCCAGTCTGGGGCCCCTGGTTGGTGCTGGCAGAAGACATGGTCCCCTTCCCCAAGGACGCTAAGGAACTCTCTGTCTACCAGTGCCTGGGCCCACTTGTCTTTCCCACTGACTGTGGAAAGGGGCACAGCTGCCAGTCCTGCAAGATCTCAACAAGACAGTGCATTGCAGGCATCTGCAGGAATGAGCCACCACTCAGCCTGCAGGTACTGGAGGGCTCAGTGAATATCTGTCTGTTCGCTGCTGATGGCACGCATAAGCTAGAATTCTGATTTTTGCATCCATTTCCACCTCTCCTATGAATTTTCCAAAATCATCCACATAAATAGGACTTTCTCCTCAACATAATCTTCAGGGTCACGCCAGGCTTTGACAAAGACAGGCCCCAGTTTCATTTTCATGGTGTTTAATTTGGAGAATAAATTTCATGCCTAACAACTGACTGGGGTTCAGCCAGATCCCACGATGAGTACGGTGCTGATTTGCAGGAGCTCTTGGGGTGAAAAATAATTTAGAAAAGATGAGGGAAAATAAGATCTAAGAAAGGACCAGGGGTTGCAGCCAGGAAGACTGTATGCCACATGCTTTAAGCGCTTGGACTTCCTGGCCTGGGTGTGATGTGGAGCAGTTTGTGAGTAGCTCTGGCCTATAAACGATGAACAGGAGTGACATGTGTTTCTTCTGAGTTGGATTGCTAAATTCTACCACATGTACAGTCTCCCTGCTGACCCACAGCAGATATGTGATGGAGTGAGACATGAGCCCCGGTCGCTTTAAGCCACTGAAGTTAGGGCTTGTTTGTTACTGCAGCATAACTTCACCTGACCTGACTGGTGCACTAGGAAAACAAAAAGCTTGATTTTTGGGGGAGGGTGGGGTGGGGGGGGCAGACTTCCATTTCCTTCTCTTCAAAGTTCAAATATCAAATCTCCTTTCTCCACAGTCTTATCAGTCAACACTGTCCTTTATCTGATCCATATTTATCATGCAGCGTGCGTAAAATATATTACAAAGCTTTGTTAGGCTAGGAATGGAAAAAAAGCAATGACTTTACTTGTGCTTGGAAGTTTACAGTGTGACGTGGCAGACAACAAACAGAACCTTTCCGCTCACCCCTGATGTACATAGAACAACAGCATCACAGCCCATTAGTGCTGGCCATGACCATAGAGTTTAGAGGTGATCTAATTTAACTTCCTAGCCCAAGAAGGCATCACCTCTCCATCTCTGACTCACTTGTACCTGCCAGGTGCCAGTCACCACACTAGAGACAGAGATGAATAAAACTCAGCGTAGTGAGTACAGTGTCTCAAGATGGGTTTGGACCTAGTGCTCAGTGCACAGAGGAGGAATGTGGCCACTTCAGGTGAAAAATCAGGGCAGGCTTCTTGGAAGAGGTAGTAGTTAACGTGTCAGAACCTTACCCCTTATGGTATGTTTGGGCTGATCGTGGGAATGCAAAAATGGTTGCTGGGCATGGCTCACCACCCTTCCCCACCATATGGGCCAACTCAAGTCTACATGCCCCACCAAGAATTTGACACCTGACCTCTTGCTTGGACCTGTGACTTCCCAGACTGCCTTATGCATGTCCAGGCCTTTGCATAGGTCCAGTGTGGTCTCTGCCCTGGAAGGTGAGAGACCAGTTGGGTGACCTGGGAGTGAATCCCTTCCCCTCCCTTCTCTGTAAAGCCAGACATTCTAGGCAAAGTGCTACAAGTGCTCATCTAGCCATGGTCCCTGCAAGGAACCCCTGCCTTGGTTGGGGTGTGGTGGGGTGCATGTAGCTCCCACCCCAATCTCCTGTGGGGGGAAGCACTGGAGAATGACTTTGTACTGGAGCTTGTTTAGCTCAGGTACCTTTAGTAAGCAACTTATTCACGAGTGCAGATTAAAACAGCACAAACTGGCTACATAAATATTGTGCTGTAATGGATTGTCTTCTGTAATCAAAGGCAAGGCTGCTGCTGACTTGGTTCCTTTTCCCTGCATTGCAACCGCTGGAGGAAAGCTTTGGGGGAAGGGAACCAAGGTTGTAGAGGTGGTTTTTGCTGCATCTCTAGCTGTCTGCAAGTTGTGTCTCTGATGTACCCGAAAGGAGGATAAGGCCCATTACATTCAGATTCAATAAGTATTTGTCAAATGCCTGTTATGTGAGAGGCACTGAGAGACACATTATCGCATTTCATTATTAAGTTCTAGTAGTAACCATTTGATAATATGGCACAAAAGTTAGTCTTTACAATAATATTTTTCCTGGTACATGTTATTGTTAGAATTTAAATGATGCTTTAACTTTTAAAAACATTGTGTAAAATTTATAAGGAAAATAAAAGAATATGACAGTGCCTAACTCTTTGCTTCCAGAAACCACAAAGGGCAGAAGAACTAGATCTTGGAATTTGGGTAGTAGATAAGTGGACCGTAGTAACTGAATTTCTCGTTAGTATTGGGTAGGTGAGCCGGGAACCGCCATACTATTTGCCTGCATCCACTTTATTGATTACCAAACAACCTAAATGTATGGCATTGGACATTTTAAATCGCTTCACACCATACATGAAAGCAACACTGTCTTTCCATTTACCTTCCAGTGCTAAGGCCGGCTTGGTGTTTCCAGCAGTTGTTGGATTTGGATGAGAGTGACTTCGAGGGGGGCATCCTCTCACATCCACCCAGCCGAGACTCCTATGCAATTTGGAGACTCTAGGAAGTTCTACCCTTCAGGTTACCAACTAACCCCTTTTGCCCTGGTGAGGGGGTGGGTGTCAGAGGCTCTGCATAAATCCCGGGGAAAGCTCAGCTGTCTCCTGACCCCTGAGGGTTGTGCAGTTGCCCTAACCTTGACTTGAAGTCAGCCTCTTTAACCCCCGTTTAAAAACGTCACTCAAGCTGGGCTGTCGTTTGAAAGAAAGAAAACAAAAAAGAAACAGTTCTGTTCTGAGAGTCGGGAAGGGGCACCCGCTCCCTAGGGGCGAGGGGCAACTTTCCGGCCACCTTGTCACGTTCCTGGTGCCCAACACTGTCCCCGCCACTTCCCTCTTGAAACGCTTGCACGAGTGGGTGGCAGCACCGAGGCGATTTTATTCGTATTTTTTTCCTCCGGGTTTTGTCATGGAAACGCTGACACAACCTCCAGACGGCGGCCGAGCCCGGTCGGGGACTGAGGGCTTTTGGGACCCTGCGGGAGCGCGGCGGGCACTCCGCACTCCCCGGGAAACAGCTGGACGCGACCAAGTCCCGGGTAGGGGCGGGGGGAGCGCGACGCTCCGCCCCGGCGCTCGGGTCCCTCCCTCCTCCCGGCTCTCCGCAGGCGCCCTCCCCTCGCCGGTGGTTGCGAGTTGCATTTGGTAAAACCCAGCCCCGGAATATATAGATCATTGGAGCGCAATGAAGTAGCCTTTGGAGAGGCGGGAGGGGGCCCGTCCGACAGCCACAGCGGCCAGCGCAGCGGCAGCGGCAGCGGCGGCGGCACCACCATCACCGCTCGCACCCCAGCCGCCCGGCCCGCGAGGAGGCAGCAGCGGCGGCCGCCGGCGGGAGTGGAGGCGGCGGCGGAGAGGCGAGGAGGAACAGCAGGAGGAGCCGGAGCGCGCAGCCGGCGGGTCCACGCATCTCCGCACTTCCAGAGCAACTCCGGCGTCTTCCATACCCTTGCCCGGGGCTGGGGGGCTCCGAGAGCCGCCGCGAAGCCAACCCGATCCCTGCTCCCGAGCGCTGCCCAGCCCTGCCCTGAGCCTCCCGGGCTCCGCTCCGCTTCGCGGGGTCCCCGCTCCTGCGCCCCGGGCGCGCCTCCCGGACACCCCGGTCCCCGTAGGCAGGACAAAGCCATGAAGCCGGCGCTGTTGGAAGTGATGAGGATGAACAGAATTTGCCGGATGGTGCTGGCCACTTGCTTGGGATCCTTTATCCTGGTCATCTTCTATTTCCAAAGTATGTTGCACCCAGGTAGGGGGCGCGTTAGCGTGGTTTTGTTGGATATTTTTTTCTCTCTCGCGGTCTCGCTCGCTCGCTCTGCCTGGTTTCTGCCTCTTCCACCCTTACCTCTTCTCCCTCGGCCACCTCGAGGCCCCTTGCTGTCCGGCTCTGCCCCGGTCACCGAATCCGGATGAGGAGGAGGAGGGAAGATGTGCTCCCTCCTCTGCTTCCTCCCGGCCCTAGGCTGGAGGATGGGACCAGGAGGGGCGGTAGTTTTTCTTCTTCTTTGTGTCTCTTGTCTGTCCGTCTGCGAGGTAGCAGGGAAAGGTAGACGTTGTGGGAAGCTGCTGGGGGTTGGGGGTCGGTTTGAAGAGAACGAAACTCCTTTCCAGCTCCGGCTGCAGTCTGAGGATGAAAGAGGCGCCGAGAGCCCGCCGCCCTGCTCGGGGGCGTGCTGCCCCTTGCTAGTTGGGGGATCGGGGGCGAAGGGTGCGCGCCCCGGCGAGGTGAATAATTCCTGCCGCGAGCTCCGTAGCCCCGAGCTAGGCTCCCACGTGTCCCGGGCTCGGCGCCGCGCCGAGCAGGTGTGGGGAGATGCTGGGTGCCGGGCGCTACTCCTGCACCAGGCTTGTGGAGGGGCCTGGCGCTGGCTGTTTGCCCCCGGGGCCCGGCTTCGCATTGACCTTGCGGCTGGGTGCCGTTGGGCCTGCTCCAACTCTCCCCACCTCCCCGTCAGCCCCGACCTCGCGCTGGGGACCCAGAGCTCCTGGGTCATGCCTTGGCCACCGCAGTTTTGGAGGAAACTTTGGCCGGGACCTGGGCTGACCTTTAGGTTGCATCCCCCATTTCTGGGTTCCGGACACCCGGAGTCTCCCGCGCCGTGTGGGAATTAGTCCCCTTACCCCAGCCACCGGTGGTTTAGACACATTCACATTAGAAATCAGGACTGGGGGAGAACAGAGGTTTGCGCCTTCCGAGGGGGCGCGAAGGAAAGTTTGGGACCTGGGGAGGGACAGGCGCCCTGGAGCGCCGCGGCTGGGGGTTCGCAGCTCGCCTCTGACGCCCAACAGGTAGAACCTTCCGAGGAGGCTTCCGGGGTAACGCTGTCTCCCCCCACCCCAGCCGTGAGCGCCCCCTGCCCCCAGCCAGTCCCGGCTAGGCCACATTGGCTCCGAAATCCATTTTTTACGCCTGCGAGTTGCCTTTTTCAGTATAGTCACAGCAATAATTTGCTTTTATAATTGCAAGGAGGAGGGAACTGGAAACATGCTTCCTTCCAGGGAAACCGGGTTGCTGTGGTTTTTTTTTTTTTGACTCTCGCCTTCTCCTTTCAGTGTGTATCTAACACTTTCAGCAGACGCAGCCCCGTATTCATCTTTCCTGCGTTAGGGTCAATGGCAGAGGAATAAAGCTGTTCTTTCCATCAAATAGCCAGGCTGCCGGCTGCGAGATTCCTTGACAGCGCGGGGACAGAATGGCCCCTCTGCCCCATTCGAGGAGCAGTTGTTAGGGCGGCCACGCTGCCAAGGATATGGTCTGACACTACCACTTGTAACCCCAGGACATCCGAGCCAGCCGTGTAAAAGATGGCTTTTGTTTGCAGCTGGGTATTTTTAGTTTCATGTCAGCAAACTACAGCGGTGTTTGTCACCTCACCCAAACCGGTGGTTGTGAAACTTCTAAGGGAATTTAAAAATGGAACTCGCTTGCATTCCGGCAGCCAGGGGGTGGTTGCAGCGGGCAGGACCAGACAGACAGTGGCATCCTGGAGACTCGGCCAGACTCCGCCCCAAAGGGCTGGGGGACTGGGTGGTGTGCAGATACACTGGGGCTCAAACAATTTAAACGAAGGACGGAATGCTTTGGTCTAGACTCTAGAGATGTGTTTAGGCCACTTCAAGTTTTGCCTAGACGTAACATGCCAGGTAACGCTCTGCAGAAATGCCTGGAACAGGGATAAATATGAGCCTCCAGCAGGAATACACTTGAACTTCTCCCTATCTGTTAGTTGTCCAGTGAAATACTGATACTAAGTGATACTCCGTTGCTTTTCTTTTCCCGTGTGAGAATTAGGAAGTAACTTTCTAGCCAGAGGTACTAGGAAGAAACTCCTAATTTGTAATTGGCACTTTGCTAAAAAGTTGCCAGGTCTAGTTAGAATATTAAGTTGACTTGAAAGTGGCATTAGCCCTTTTCAGTCTAGTCTTTGGGGACCAGGGACAGAATATTTTTCTAAGGTTGTCCTGATATGGATCCTGTGTCTTTGGCCCTCTGCTCTTAGCCTTTTGCTTCCCTTCCTGGTCCTGTTTCCTCCCAAGAAATGGCACTTGTTCATTATTCACGTCTATTTAAGTGTGCTCTCCTGATATTCCGCCCCCCCCCCAGTCCATAGCAAATGCTACTTTCAATACATTCTGTTGAATATAGAACTGCAAATATTTCAATTGAAAGTCTTCCTTATTTTGAATTACATATAGTTCCATGAAAACTCCATGCCCATGGTTTATTATATGGGACACAAAAATATGCTTTGAAATCCCTATTAAACATTTCTTCTTACCCCCATTTTTAAAAACTACACTGTTGATGGTGACTGATGCTAAATTTTTTCCTACCGTTTTGAATTTCTTTAAAAGTTAGCCAACCTTGGCTTCTCTGTAGGATTTAGGGTAATGATAGCTGAACGTGTAGCCTGGCTCTGCTCCCCAGATCACCTGGGAGAGGCAGAAGGGACCACAGCATGGCACAGACTGTGTTGCTAAAAATTTGGAGCCCTCTGGCTGAAGTTCTGAATAGCTATAGCTGAGACAGGAAAATAGTACTCCAAAAGAAATGGATTCCTGGCTTCATTAGTGTCTAGAGAATACCTGGAGTGAGTGAAGTGGGTGAGAAAGAATAAAATGAGACAGCTGAGGGGTGGAATCTCTTCCTCTGATTCTATCTAATCGGGGGTCCATTGTCATTTGTACTTTTCTAATTCATTGTACACTTGAATAACAGATCTTTAATTTGGTTAGAAGGTTTAGCAGAAGTGGGCCTTGTCAGTCAGTGAGGCAGTTTTCTTGAGATCTTTGACACTCTGAGTTAACAGTATTTGTTAAGGCTGTTTTCTAGGCCAGGGACCAGGCTTTAGGCCCCATTCGAATCCCTATGTTTTGCACAATGCCCGAAGCATGGTAGGTTCTCAAAATATTGATTGGATGAATGCATGAAGTGGCTAAACTCTAAAAGACCAGCTTCTCTGGTTTTCGGGAAGGTGGTGTCAAGCTTTGCCACTCATGCCTGATCACTAAGCCTGGCTCTGTCCAGGGGGGACACTTCCCTGCCTTCCTGGCCTCTGAGATCCCCTGACACATGGATTTGGTTTAAACTTATGCACCAGACTGGGGTCTTCCCCATGGCCTGATTTGCTGCCCCCAGGTGTGAGGCCTCTGGGGTACTGCTCCCCATCCTGGGTCTTGGGGATGCCTGGCCTTGTTTTAGCCCACAGAGCATCCCAAGGATGGACACCTGTGGGTGTGGACCACTCCTGAAGTCGGTGAGGATGGAAACATATGCCTGTGGTTTCTGCACACGCTTGAGTCCCTCAGTGCATGCATCCTGTGAAGGTGCATCATACATTAAAGTGTCTGCTTACCTGCCCCACAGGCAGGGCTTTGGCAGAGCTGTGTCCTGCCAGTCAGAGCTGAGAGGCCTCCAGGCTGCATTTGTGCCCAGTGTGTGAAGACAGTTCCTCTGAACCTTCCTTTTGTTTTTCTCGGTAGGATTGTGGTTTTGTTTGAAAGCTCCTGTTCTTAGAAGAGAAGCCTGCGGAGGAGAAAGCCTTTTTTCCTCGCTTCCCTTCCTCTCATTGCAAATTTTTTTCCTTTTGCAATATGTTTACTTTCACTGTCGCCTGGGATTTCTTTGCTTTGGTTGAATGTATTGAAAGGTTATACCCTGTATTTAAAGACTTCTTGGGTTACCCCTTTGAAGTTTCTCTTGATTAGACTGAATGTAAAAGGCTTTTGTATTATAATTTTAATCTAATTATAAACATAATAAGTGCTCATTTTAGAAACTTTAGGAAGTACAGAAGAGAAACAATCATTCCTTATTCCACCACCCAGAGGCAGCTGGTACTTTTTTCTATTATGGAATACTTATATATTAAAAAAAATAGTTGAGATCACATCATGCATTTTGTATCCTGTTTGATAGAGTATTTTAGACAAACACATCATTATACTGACTAGTTATTAAACTTAAAGACAGAAAATGTAACCACAGCCTTTTCAGTTTTTAAACTTGCACATACCTCTATCCCCCCGACTCCATTTGCAAGATGTCAGTCCGATTGTGCCTTTTTTTTTTTTCTGGCCACAAACATTTAATTTTAAATTAAAAAATCTTTTTTGCTTATACATGAAATTAGTTTGGAATCATACTAATTCATAGGGGCTGTTCTTATGTTATCCCTCTGAAATTTCCTTTGAAAATGTGTCAGGAGGGTCTCAAATAGGAGACTGTTATGAATCTTGAAAACAGCATTAGGTAACCGAAGAATAAGCCATTTCCACCATGGGATATCACCGTGTGGTTTACGTGTTAGCACCTCCCTAGGGCATTTTCATAGCTGCATTGAGACGAGACAGATATACTTAAACTGTTTCCTGCACTGTGGAGAAGTCCTCATTTCATTGCCTTTTGTGAAAAAAGTGATCAGGCACCACAGAAAGAGCAGTTGGGGGACTTCTGTGGGGCTTGGGGTGAGGGTATCCATCCTCTGACAGAGGTGGCTTCTGTTTATAGTTATCTGGTTGAGAAGTCATTTTGTTTAGGACCAGGTCTATTAGCACAGCCCTTTAAAAACCGGAGATCAAAGGTTTACAAGTGCAGGTGCCACCCCTTCCCTGAAAAAGGCTCTTGGAAGTCATTGCCAACTGGCTGCTTCAGATTGGGAGAAAAACGAAGTTGTTTTGCTAATTCATTTTTCTCTTTTTAGTTTTTCTTCTCTTGAATTTTGAGACCCCATC